GAGCTCTGGAGCCCCCATGTCCCCTCTTTTTTTGGTAATAGGGATTGAACTCAGGAACACTCAACTACTGAGCCACATCCTTAGCCCTATTTTGTATTTTATTTGGAGACACTGTCTCACTGAATTGCTTAGCAGCCTCATCATTACTGAGGCTGGCTTTGAACTCACCATCCTCCTATCTCAGCCTCCTGAGCCGCTGGGATTACAGGCATGCACCATCATGCCTAGCCCTGTGTCCCCTCTTTAGGCAATATAGCACCTGTCATCTGCCATTTGTGGGAAGTATATGTGGTGGGTTTTTCACGTGATGCTATCTCACCAGAGCCTGTGCACATATGAGGAGCCACAGCACAGAGGGGAAACCTGGTGCTCGGGGCACAGGAAGTACATGATAGAGTTGGTGTGGATACCACCTAGGCTGCTTACACCACAGAATGGGCTGTTAGCACCTCTATGAGGCATGGCCCCTTGGCGGGGGGGTGTTGTCTGGAGAAGCTGCCTGCAAGAAGTGGTCACCTAAGGCAAGGAGACTGGGACCTGTGACTTTTCTTGCATCTGGCTTGGGCATATGGGGATGGCAGGGACCATTCTGGGTCCCCGCTGGGAAGAAGGAAGCTGTGGTAGGCTGGGTGGCCCTCTGGGCAAGGCTGAGGCAGCCCCAAGGCTGGCCTGTGGTCGGTGGTATGGAGGCTGCTCTGAGAGGCGGGCCCAGTGCCTTAGCCTCCAGCTACAGGGAGCTGGTTCTCTGTTCCTGCCCACATCCTGTCCCCAGGAGCAGAGAGCAGCAGTTGCACACCCATGGATGGTGGGGGAGGGTGTACCGCGGGGAACCTGCCTGGGTACCTGGGGCCCAGCCTGCACCAGGCATCTGAAGCCAGGCACTGTGCAGCCCCAGAGGGAGCTAGGGAAGGAAGAGAGGCCCAGGCTAGTCGTTGCTCAGTTCCAGGCAGCCACAAAAGGCACCTGCCTAGCATGATTTAATAGGAGCTCAGTGGATCCTGGGTCCTGGTATTCTGAGAAGCTCTTGTGCTGTCACAACTGGGCCAACACAAGGCTTGTGGTCCAGACTAGGAGTCAGCCTGCCCATCCAGCTGTGATTCGGTTTTGCCTTTTCATCTTCCTCCTGAGCCCCTGAGAGACAGATGTTGATGCTTCTCAATTTCCCTTCTGTGTCTCTCTACTGTTTCCTCATAGGCCTTGTCTCCATGAGGTTTCTGTGAGAATTCCATCTTGCTGATCCCCAACTATCCCTTCAACAGCCTGCCTGCCTGAAGCCCATCACACCTGGTGTGTTCTTTATTTTAGTCCCTTTTTTTTTTTTCGTGTCTGGGATTTTATGTTATTTCTTGTTCATAGTCTCCTATTCTTATTTCTGCCAGTGGATTTGTAAATTCTCATTCTTGTTTATGGATGCTACTCCTTTGTTTCTTTGAGAATCTGAAATGTCTTGAAAAATCATTATCACATTACTCCAGTACCTTCGTCTCTTCTGCAATGAACTAATTTCCCCATGTTTTTTTTTTTTTAATATTGTTTCTAGACGTTGATGGGCCTTTATTTTGTTCATTTATTTATATGCGGTGCTGAGAATCTAACCCAGTGCCTCACACATGCTAGGCAAGCGCTCTATCATTGAGCCACAACCCTGGCTCCCTCTCCATGGTTTTGATATGGTTGTTTATCTTTCTTAGTCTTAAATTTCCTTTGGTGTTTTGAAATTGGGGTTTGCAGCTCATCTGAAATGGGAGCTGAGGCCGTGGGGACAGAGAGTGGCCTGTAGTACCTGAATCCTCAGGTTGGCAGCAGGTAACACAGAGCTTCCTGTGGTCCAGCAGTTGGGATGCCTCATGGCACTGCAGAGTATGTAACTGGTGAACATTTGCTACTAGAAAGTGGAAGGAGGACTCTAAATCTGGGATTCTGGAGCCCAATCCTGCAATCGGCAGAGTCTCTGTGCTGTGCTCTGATCCTTGCCCTTGGCTGCACCCAGGAGCAGGTGTGCAGGGAACTGCTTGAAAGCTGGCTGGCACCTCCATCCAGCAGGCTCTGTGGGGGTACAGCCACCATCTGGGTATGTGTACAGAGAGCCTTGCTTGTGTGATGTATGAGGAGCCAAAAGAGGTGGGCCAGGAGATGTATGGGTTTTGATTAAATGGAGTTTTAATTAAAGCAGCTGGGTCTGGGTAGGTGTGGGTGAGAAGGCAGGAAAAGGCAGCATTTTGAGTCTGACTGCTGGGAATCCTATGAGTTTGTTTCGTTTTGTTTTTGCAGTTCTGGAGATTGAACCCAGGGCCTTCGGCATGCCGGGCAAGCGCTCTACCACTGAGCTATATCCCTAGCTCTTTCAAGGGTATCCTTTGAAGGCTAATCAAGCACATTCCTTAGCATGTGTCTGTAGTTTTGGGGGGACCATGTCTGCCTTCTGCCCCATCCCAACAAGGGATAATCATGAGGAAATATGACATTATTAATATTTAATTCCCCCCCTGGCTAGCAACAGATGACTCAAGGATTAATTAGATAGGACCAACAGAGAGGGATAGGAAATTGCCAATCCTGGCCCACCCTGACCCCTTCCCCATGACCTTCCACCTTCCTGTAGCTCTGGGAGGCTTCAGAAGGGAGAGAAGCCAAAGGGCCTAGGAAATCTTCCAGCTGCTGTGTTCCATGGCATTCTTCCTGGTCCTAAGCCACTTTTTAGTGCTCTTGGGAAGGCTGAGAGGTCATTTAATCTCTTTGGGCCTTAGTGTCCTATCTGTAAAATGGGGTTTGTGGGGTTGGTGAGAACACAGATGTCCATTATTTTCCAAGCTCCCAGGAAGGCTGTACAAGCTCTTTGAGAGGGTCCAGCATAGGGTCCTGGCAAGTAGCCTAGCCAGAAAGCACAGGGTTTGGTGGCTCAGTAGTGCCTGGCACCTGGTGACCAGCTGTATGTATGGCTTCCCTATTCTGGTTAGTGACCTAATAGTAGTTTGAAATTGGCCCTAGTAAGAGCATTTACACCACAGAAAAAGGCTATGAGTCAGGGCACTCCTGACTCGTATAGCTGGGCAAACCCCAATCATCCCCCCAGAGTTCTCCCAGTAGCACGTGGCTCCCAATTTCCTCCCTGCCCCCTGTCCTGTGGATGCCTCTGGTTCCACTGATCTGCCGAACTCAGGGCTGGGGAAGAAACAGCCCAGAGTGGATTCTAATTTAGCAGATGCACTTTTCTGGGGGACCAGAGAAGTCTCACCAGGGATGTGCTGGTGGCAGCAGGAGGAACCTGCAGGAAGGCTACCTGCTCCTTTGAGGAAAGGGGCAGAAGGGCAGCAGGCCATGCACAAGGGAGCCTATGCCGGCCATGCTGGCAGGAGCCCAAGATGTACCTTTAGCCTCACTTAAGGTTGGCCTGGGCAGAAGAGTCAAGTGCATTCCGTGAGCTTTGGACAAAAGGAATGTAGCTTTAGAATAATCAGGAAGGGTACCACTTCTGATGCTGTTCAGCATGGGGACCTCACACAGAAGAGACCCTGAGAATTCAGGCATGTATCCAGGACTGCCATGAGAGTCTCACCAGAGTTCTGGGTCAGGCCCCTTCCAAGCCAGGCATTCTGGCTGGAGTGGAGTCAATATGGTCCACAGTTCGCACTGGTGATGTGACATGTCAGTGAAGCTCTGGATGAGAGGCTGGGGAGCCTTTGTCTGCCCCTGGTGGGGCCCTTGAATCTGAAGAATGGTCAAGGACCATGCCAGTCTTCCAGCCTTGGTTGGTCAGATTGGTAGGAAGTGGTGGCATCCTTCAGTAGATTCCCCTTCAGAAGGTCCATGGGGCATGAGCTGGTTATCCTCTTCCTCTGGGAGGAATCAGTGGCAGGAGCAGGATCTCTAGATACCAGTGGCTCCTCATAGGCTTGCTGGCTTGGCTGAGCCTGATTGGCTAATGATGTGCTGCTGCTGTTCCTGGGCCTGGGAGGTCACACTGGACGTGGGTGGGAGGCAGCCCCTGAACTGGCAGCAGCTTCCCTAGCACCTGTTGGATCTGGGTCTGTTGGAGGTCAGGTGTGCTCCCGGTAAATACTACTGTGAATTTCAGGCCAGGATCACAGAGGGACAGAGGTATGTGGTGAGAGACGGTGCCTAGAGGCTTGATTTGCCAGGGACACACTTTGTGAACGGCGGGTTGGCAAGTGCCCTGTGAAGAGCGCAAGCTCAGTAAGACTCAGCCCTCTACTACACACTGCCTGAGACCCTCAGTTTCTGTGGCGTCTTTGGCCTTTTTATCCTCCAGTTTCCAGACTCTTCTGTGTCATATGGTCCATTCCAAGCCTCCTGGTGGGATAGAAGGGCCTGTTTGGTATAGGAACCACGCCCCTTCCAAATGTGGCTTTAGATTGTGCCTGTGCCAATGCCAGTCTGAGGCAGTGACATCATTACATTTAGAAGGAAACTTAGGATTCATTTGTTTCAGTCCTCTATTGCCTCCTGGCCAATTTGGGGGTGAGGCAGCCCTTTGAAATGGACCTGGGACCAGAGTGACCTTTTTCCAGGGTCTCCAGACCTGTTCAATCCCTCATATCCTCGAGGAAATGAGGGAAGATGTGCAGGAAGCCAAAAGGCAGTCTCTGGCCTCTTGTCCCAGGCAGATGGTAGCTGCTGCTATGCACCCCTGGGACGTAGAGAATTTAGGACTGAAGGAAGTAGATTTGGGAGCCTATCAGCTCTCAGAGAGAGTCACTTTAGTGGGCAGAGGTCCACTTGGACTGAGACTACTTCACAAGGTCAGGGAGGAACAGCTGGAGTTTGGACTGGGCTCAGGCCTGCTAGGGAGACCAAGACTTTGACTCTCTAGGGATGTCAACTATTCCTATGTTTCTATGACATTTTGACTTTGGGGGAGCACTTTCAAATCTGTTGTTTATTTCCTTCTGATAGATTCCTGGGCAAGAGCTGCAGTGGCATCTAGAGGTCAACTGCTTCACTATATGAGTGGGGAGCCTGAGGCCCAGAAAGGAAAACCATTCTTTTTTTTTTTTTTTTTCTGGACCAGTGATTAAACTGAATGATGCTTAATCACTGAGCAATATCCCCACCTCTTGTTTATTTTATTTTAAAATTTTTTTAGATGTTGATGAACATTTATTTTATTCATTTATTTTTTACGTGGTGCGGAGAATTGAACCCAGTGCCTCACACATGAGCCCCCCAGCCCAGACCTCTTTTTTATCTTTTGAGACAGGGTCTCTAACTTGTTGCTGAGGCTGGTTTTGAACTTGGGATTCTCCTGCCTCATCCTTGTAGGAGCGGCTGGGATTACAGGTGTGCACCACCATGCTTGGAGAAAAACACATTCTTGCCTAGGTTCCCCCAGCAGGAGTGATTTAAGTCTGTCATTCCCTGTGTCAGTCAGGCAGAGAAGCAGGTGGGGGGGGAAGTGTGGGAGGAGAAAAGGGAGGCGGATCCCTCAGAGAAGGGAAGCAGCCTCAGCGCCTGCCCCACCCAGATGTGCAGCCTGCTCTCAGGGACACCAGGAGGCAGCAGGTTCAGGTTTGTGCTTGCTGTGCTACCTATGAGGGTGCAGGGGGTTTAACTGCAGACAGTAGAAGACAGGACCAGACAGCTGCTCAGATCCCTCCAGATCTGAACTCCAGGAGTCTCTGTCCCTCGATGGGGCAGCTGGTATCCCTTAGGTGGGCACTGGTAGTTCCCTGGAGAGCTTGCTGGAGATGGAGCCAGCTGAAGCAGGCTGAAAAGCCAGTCCTGCGAGAGAGGGTGGGTGGGATTGAGAGAGCCCAATGGGGGGGAAGGACCTTTCTGGGAAAGAGGGAGGGTTGTGGAGCTGGCAGTGAGTGCAGAGACCCAGGAGACTGGCCAGGCTGCCAGAGAAGGCTTGAGAAGCTGAGCATAGGGAGCAACATTAGAGACTTAACTTCTTGATAGATTCTTAGCTCCTGGGGTGGGGGGAACACCAAAAAAAAAAAAAAGTGGACTGATCTTTAGCCCTGAGTCCGGGCTGGAAGAGCCATGACCTCAGCACCTGAAATGCAGCCTTGGATAGTGCAGAGGGGTGAGCCAGAGTCCTGGCAGGGGGTGCAGCTATGGTTCTGCCCATAGTCCCTTCTGTGTCTGTCCTGCAGAGTCTGAGAGAAGAGAATGCTTCCCTGGGAGGGGTTTGCATGAGGGTCCTGGCAAGAATTTCCCAGGACCAAGGAAAAGTAGTTTTGCTCAGTGACCTTTCTGGGTCTGTATCCTTCCCAGAAATGGAGGCCAGAATACTAACTCTCCTGCCTCCTGCCTGTGATCATAGCTGGCTGGACAGGGCATGGGGGTCATTCTTGTGCTGACACCTTGCCCACTGGTGGAGCAGAATCTGAAACAGCAGGGATCAGAGTGGTCCAGCTGCTTACCAGGCTTTCTTTGCAGGTACTTTGGGAACCCTGGAGCCGAACTGAGCCATGACACAGCCGTTGGAGCCCCTGGAGAGGGCCTGGTGTGAGAAGACTTGGAGTTATCTGTGAGAAAACCTTTGGAGAACACCCCCCCACCACCACAGGGACGCTCTTGGCTCCTGTAAGGAAGAGGCTCTGGGGCCTAGGCCCTTCTGCCTGGGCAGCAGACGGCTGGGCTGCAGCTATGGACCGTGAGCTGGCCCAGCCCGTGTCCTTGCTAAGCCTGCCCGTCTGCAGCCGCTCCCACCATGGGCTCCTCAGTATACATCACAGTGGAGCTGGCCATTGCTATGCTGGCTGTCCTGGGCAACGTGCTGGTCTGCTGGGCCGTGTGGATCAACAGCAACCTGCAGAACGTCACCAACTTCTTTGTGGTATCGCTGGCGGCAGCTGACATCGCAGTTGGTGTACTCGCCATCCCATTTGCCATCACCATCAGCACGGGGTTCTGCGCTGCTTGCCATGGCTGCCTCTTCTTCGCCTGCTTCCTCCTGGTCCTCACACAGAGCTCTATCTTCAGCCTTCTGGCCATTGCCATTGACCGCTACATCGCCATTCGCATCCCACTTCGGTGAGCTGGGGACCAGGGGTTTGTCTGTACAAAGGCTGGCTATGCCCAGCGTCTCGGCTATGGCCTTAGCCTGTGACTGCCCAGGGCTGGTGGGTGAGCAGCCAGTATGCCAATCTGGCTTTTCCCCCATGGTTGAGGCTGTGTGCAGCCAGCCATGTTTGGCTGCTGGCAGATGAGTGTGGCTTGGACCTGCACCACACTCGGCTATGCCTGGGCCATTCTTCACAGAACAGAGCAAAACTCCCTGCATGATGCTGGAGTGGGTGGGGAACCATAGAACCTCAGCTAGGACCCGCCCACTGATTGCCTTTCCTCAGTTCTTCTTGGCTGGCCTCTCAGAGTGCATGTTAGGAGAATGACCCAGAGAGGGGAAGTGACTTGGCTGAATGCCACAGTGAGTCATTTGGACTTATATGCAAATTATGTTGCTCTTCAGGTCACCAAGGACTCTCATGCACTAAAGGGCTGGCTGTGGGAGGGGGGTTTTTATGGTGAATCTTTTGCAAAGTGACTTCAGCAAAGTATTGTGTAAACGAAGACTTCCCCGCAGGCTGAGTTTACTTGTGTAGACTTCACCTACCTAGAGCATAGAGAGCAAGAATGTGTGTCCCTCCTCTGGGGAACCCAGGGCCCTCTTCCTCCACCTTCTTGCTCCTCCACCATAGAGCTGGGTTCCATAGCCAGGGTGGCTGTAGGACCTGAGGGAGGTCTCCATGATTGGGAATCTGGGTACACTTGTCCCCATGGTAAAATCTCCCAAACAGGTAGAGTGCCCACCAACTGAGGAAGCCCCCATTTCCCTATTCTGGGCTGAGGGTACCCCAGCAGGGAGGACGAACAGGCTCAGTGAACAAATGGAAATTCAGAGTGTGAAACCCAAGAGGGACCTTAAAGGTCATTTCCTTCCTCTCTTCATCTGAATGGAAAAATGAGGCTCTGAAAAAGGAGCCAGCTCTTTCAGGACCACACAAAAAGTTGGTAGCAGAACTAAGACTAGTCCTGGGAAAAAAACATAGCCTGCCACTACTGTGACATGTCTTTGGGGAGTGGTTACAGGCAGCTCAGTCTCCCAGAAGCTGTACCCAGTAGCCACTGCTGTAACTTGAGCCCTAAGAGGGAAGAAAGCACCCATATCAGGCTGCCCAAAAGAAGGAGTGGAACTCTAAGGCCCTTGTCAAAGGACTTCTCAAAGGAGAGGAGGATCCTGGCCCTCCTTAAAAAGGGAACTGAGTTAGAGGTGGTCTGACTCTAGGCACAGTCTGTGGGATAAGCTCCTATCCCTTGTTCCAGGGGGAAGGGCAGCTGTCTAAGGACAGCTCAGAATAGGGAAGCCCCAGAGAAACCTGTTTGTGGGTACCAAGTGAGCCAGAAAAGAGAGGACCGGAGTCCATCTCAGGGAGCCAGGCTGCATGCAGGCAGTGGTAGCATGAGTGCTAAAGGGAAGCAGTAGACTAGCTTTCAGTTTCTTCTCTGATTCAGAGGGCAACAACATTCCAGGGAGAGATCAGGAGGGCTGTTCTCAATTTAAAAACCTTAGGGTTTTTTCCCACCTTGGTTTCTTTCTTCCCATCTCTATTTTCTGAGAGTCAAAAGAAATGGTAGGATGGAACATACCATGTGGCTTTGGAAAGTCAGATGCCTTCCTCTGGGCCTGTTTCCTCATCTGTAATAGGGAACAAAGGTGCAGGGGTCCAGTGGGTGGGTGGAAGTGACAAGGGATTCAGCTCTTTCTTGAGCTGCTGGAGGTTTGGAGCCATGCATCTGCTCCGATCCAATCAGCTTCTCTGACTCCCAGGACCTCCTAGAGCTGGGTTTCAGTTTCACCCCTACCTCAGACCATTTGTGCTCGGTTGGATTAAAAACCATTTGAGCGTTTAGAAGGCTCAGGCTGGTTCTTCTCTGCAGGGAGTCAGTGGGGATGATGATGATGATGTTATCCTGTCCCAGGGGCAGAGTTTGACCACTGTCAGAGCATGTTAGCAGAGCATCTCCTTTATTCCTTTTCAGCCCAGCATTGTGGCTGGGTGGAAGTTACGACCTTCTATATTACTCATGGTGAGGCCAGAGCCAGGGAAAGACATATGTGCGTCTTCTGATGTGGAAGGACTCTAGTGTCCTTCACACTGATCCTGGCCCTGGGGTCCCTTCACTTTCCTATTCTTGGAGGCCCCTGGCCACTGGGTGCATGGAGGGCTAATGGCTTCTGAGAGCAAACAGGATATGAGGGGAAACTGGATGGAGGCAACTGAATACCAGGAGCTCTTGGTTGGTCCCGGAGGGACGGCCTGACTTAGTCTCCCCCTTCCTCTTTTGTTGCCTTCACAGCTGGGAATCCAGCCTTGTCTATGCCATTTGCTGCTCCACTCAGCAAGGTTCACAGGGCTTCTCTGAGGTCTAGTCCCTGACAGATGCCTAGCCTCAGGCCTACACCCTGCCCTGAGGATTAAATCTAGGGGTACTCTACCTCTGAGCTGCATCCCCAGCCCTCCTCTTTATTTTGTACTTTAAGATAGTATTTCACGGGCTGGGTTGTGGCTCAGTGGTAGAGCACTTGCCTAGAACCTGTGAGGCCCTGGGTTCAAACCTCAGTACCACATAAAATAAATCTATAAAAAGATAGTATCTCACTAAGTTATCCAGGCTGGCCTCAATTTCCCAAGTAGTTGGGATTTTTCTTTTTTTAAAGAATTCAGTTTCAGCCAGGTAAAGTGGTTCACGCCTGTAATCCCAGCAGCTCAGGAGGCTGAGGCAGAAGGATCACAAGTTCAAAGCCAGTCTCAGCAACTTAGTGAGGCCATAAGCAACTCAGTGAGACCCTGTCTCTAATAAAATATAATAAAAGGGCTGGGGATGTGGCTCAATGGTTAAGCACCCCTGGTCCAATCCATAGTATACCCCCACCCCCAAAAAAATTCAGCTTCAGAACAAATTATCTCCTCCTAATTGTAGAGACACTTTTGGGGTAAGGCAGGGCCTAGTCAGTGGGAAAGAAGCTGGGCACGAGGTAGAGGTACAGCTCTCAGTGTCCACAAAGGATAGAAATCCCAGGGTCAAAGATGCAGGTTTCCCTTCTCAGGGGACTTTTACACTATAGTCTCTTGGTGGGTACTCTCACTCCTGAGGAACAGGCCAAAATACAGGTTGGGGATTGATGCCAAGGCCTAAAGTCCTATAGTAGTTAGTTGCCCTGACTTCGAAAGGGGCAAGAGGGCTGTGGGTGTAGCTCAGTGGCAGAGCACATGCTTAGAATGTGCAAGATCCCTAGCACCATACACAGAAAAATAATAATAATAATAAAGAGGCAGGATTGGGAGGGAGGGTTCCCCAGAAGAAGTGTGGCCCAATGGGTCTTGTAGGATGCTTAGGGGCTCAATGCATGTGTTTGGGGTAGGTGTATCAGGAGGAGGGCAAAGCCTGGTCAGAGACCCTAAGAATGAATAAGCATGTGGACTCTGGACCAGGAAGAGGTGACCTTGATGCTGAGTGATGGAAGGAGATGAGCTGAGGGGGAAGGCAATGTGTGAGGCTGATTCGGGCCTGTTCATGCCTAGAGAAGAAGTTTGGGTTTCCCCTGGAGTCAAAGGCTCTTCAATTCTTGAATCACTGACCCCTTTGGATACCTTAAGAAAGATCCACCTTCTCAATGTGGTGCAAATGTGCATAAAACTCCACCTGGAATCATGGAGTATGTTCTTAGATTAAAGGGTAAGCCCCTAACATGGGTAATAATGATCCCCAGGAGGGGCATCCGACAGGCTGGTAGACACAGGAATGCAGAGGGCACCTGAAAATGAGGGCTGCCAGTGTCTCTGGCACCTGCATCCTATGACTCTTGTGGGCTTCCTGGAATGGCTGTATATTGCACTGGGCAGCTGAACAGTCTATACCTGGGGTCCAGAAGGCTGAGATATGACTGTGTTAGTTACAGATGTAGCCCAAGGGATGCTGCTGGGCATGACCATAGAGCATTCATGATTCCATTTGAACCCTCATCCTGTCCCAGGCCCCCAGATGCCTGGCTCCAGGACTTAGCTTATGGGGCGTACTTTTGGGGGGTGTTGTAGATTTTTGTTGTTGGTTGTTTGGTTTTGGTTTTGGCAGTGCCAGGGGCCCATTCTAGGACCTTACCTATGTTAATCATATTCTGTACCACTGAGCTACCACCCCAGCCCTATTTGGTGTGTGTTTTTTTAAAAATAAATAATATTTGCATGTGCTCAAACATTAAAAAAGAATAAGAAGTATATAGTGAAAAGTTGTCCCCTTGCTCCCTGACACCTAAGTACCCTTCCCAGAAGACCTTGGTGAGTATCCTTCCAGAGACATTCTTCACCTATGAGTACCACTCATACATGTTTTGTTTCTGTCCCCACAAGGGGCTTTCTTTCAGAGAGCAGTGGAAGAAACCCTTGTGGGTTCCCTTATCTGTAAAAGTACGCAACTGGACAGACCAGGGATTTCCATGCTGTGTTCTCAAGAGCTCTCAGGCCCAGCCCTGATATCCCCACCAACTCATTAATTCAATAAGTACTTATAAAGCCCCTCTCTTCCCCAGCAATTACACTCCCCTAAGTGCCCAGAAATGTAGATATGAAGGTCCACTGCTGGAGAAGAGCTTGAAAAACCATTAGAGCAAGTGGCCACCAGGGTCTAGGAGATCCTACACAATCCCTATAATAGCTTGTGTCTACTTGATTGCCTCAAATGACAAGAAGCTCACTACTGCCCAAGGCAGCCCATTTCTCCTAAGAACAGCTCAGCTCAAAGGCTTGGACCTACCCCAAGCTACAGTTGGCCTTCTTGGATTTTCCACTTACTGATTCAGCATTCTGCCCTTATGGAGGCAGTGCTGATCTAGTCCAGATTTGTAGTTCTATTTCACAAATGAGGGAACTGAGGCTCAGAAAGGCAAAGTGACACAACATTGCTTATTTACAGGAATGTACCAAGGCTAGAACCCAGGGAGAGATGTACTTTTCTCAGGAACAATATCGACATTAATGTAGCCTCCCATTCAGTGAGGTTATATGAAGTAGTAATGTACAGAGCCTGGCACAGAGGAAATGCTATGTGAGTATTAGTTGGGGGGTATATAACGTTTGTGTATGAGTTTCCGGAACAGGAGACAAGGAGTGCTGGCTCTGTTGCTTGGCAGAAATGATCAAATCCGTGACCCTAATCCTGCAGGGGCCTGTTGGCACACCTGTTTTGTATTCTGAATGGACAAGGCTGGGGGAGGGGGTAGCTTAGCAGTAGAGCACTTGTCTGCATACACAGGATCCTGGATTCAATTCCCAGCACCTCCAAAAGTACAGAATAAGAGAATTGCCACAGGGGCTGGGGTTGTGGCTCAGCGGTAGAGCGTTCGTCTCGCATGCGCGGACCCTGGGTTCGATCCTCAGCACCACATAGAAAAATAAATGAGTGAAATAAAGGTATTATGAATAAATATTTTAAAAAAGAGAATTGCCACAAAACATTCAGAACTGACAAACATACTTGGGCCTGAGTTGCCTCTGGGCCTCTGCAATGTCTAGGGCAAATCCATTCCCTTCTTTGGAACTCAGTTTCCCCACCTGTGAAATAAGAGGGTTGGACTAGATAAGAGATCAGAAGCCACTAATTTTTTGGTTTTGATTTTTCTTAATTTGAATTTAGCAAAAATTAAAAGTTGGGAGCATCTGCCCAGAATATCAGCTTTTCCTTCAGCTCTGACCACACTGGGTGCACATGTTGTTGTTGTGCTGGAGATTGAACCCAAGGCCTCCCACATGCCAGACAAGCCTTCTAACATGTTTTATATGGCAGCAGAGACAGTGTAAATGCCCACCAGCCTGCCTTGCTGGTTTATTATCTAGAGGCACATATGTTTGCCACCTATGAGCTACAACCTTTCTGCATATGTTTCCAACCCTGGAATTAAATAGAGCATATTTTCCTTGGCATCTACTCTGTGCTCCCATGCCAGAGAGGCAATGCAGATCAGGATGCAGGACAGCACTGTCTCCAGGGGTATCCCAGCTTTGGAAACCCAGAGGAGGCAGGAAGCTTCTTGGAGAAGGTACCTAGTCTGAACTTGATGGATAGGGCTTCCACCAGACAGAGGGGAGGGGAGGGTTGTCTGGTTTTGCCAGAATCGAAATTGCTAAGCAGAAGGTCAACCCTCAGAGGTCACCAAGGTTGCCTTTCTCAATCAGTGAGGATTTTTTATTTTGAGTACACATTTGATAGGTAAATTGCTGCTACCTTTCCTGTGGGATAGAGGTCTCTTTCCTGGCAGTAAATCAAGCCATTCCCCGATTCTGGGACTGGGAATTAGCAGGCTTGGATATCTGTCTGGCTCTTAGGAACACTGAGTAACTTTACAGAGATTACTGTCCTTCTCTGGACCTCAGTACTTCATACACATATTTCCTCCAGGATATTAAGATTGCCATGTAAATGTGAAGACACTATCTCATTTCTCTCCAGAGGATGGTAGGTGGATTTGGATGGGAGATGGTGTCTCATTTGGCTTGAGACCCCCATTCTTCCTAACTATCTTGGGCAGTCTCATGTGGGGGGCCTCTGGAGACCCAAGTCAAACGGTGAAGAAAGAACAATGGAGTACAAGATGCTAAGATCATCTTCAGGCCTCGTCTGGCTGGTTCTGTCCTCAATGAGCCCACCTTCCAGACCCATCCCACTCGAAAGGGAAGTGTGTCGTCCCTTGAACCAAGATCAACCAATATGGAAGTGCTACTTCTTCCCCTCCCCCACAAATCACTTATTAATTTCCTCAAACCAAACTCAATTTAAGTCTCAGAATTATGCCTAAGACTAATAATCATGAACTTTTATACAGTGGTTTCTGTTTCCACTGTGTCTGCTCTTTCATGACCTCCTAGCAGCTCAGAAAAGGCAAGACCCAATAGATCTCACTTAAAAGAAGAGGATACTAAGACTAGGAGGCAGGAAGCAATTGGTCCAAGACCTTACAGCTGGCCAGAAAGCAGTGGAGTGGGAGACCAAGCAGGGTGCCTTTCTGGGTTTCTTGACTCTTAGCCCTGTCTAGCCCTGGTTTCTCAGACCTCTGACACTGGTCTCCTTTCTCCAGGTACAATGGCTTGGTGACTGGCATGAGGGCCAAGGGCATCATTGCAATCTGCTGGGTGCTGTCATTTGCAATCGGCCTGACGCCCATGCTGGGCTGGAACAACTGCAATCAGCCAAAGGAGGGCAAGAATCACTCTCAGGACTGCGGCGAGGGCCAGGTGACCTGTCTCTTTGAGGATGTGGTGCCCATGAACTACATGGTATATTACAACTTCTTCGCTTTTGTGCTGGTGCCCCTGCTGCTCATGCTGGGCATCTACTTGCGAATCTTCCTGGCGGCCCGGCGACAGCTGAAACAGATGGAGAGTCAGCCCCTGCCAGGGGAGCGGGCTCGGTCCACACTGCAGAAGGAAGTCCATGCTGCCAAGTCACTGGCCATCATTGTGGGTCTCTTCGCCCTCTGCTGGCTGCCCCTGCATATTATCAACTGCTTTACCTTTTTCTGCCCCCAATGCAGCCATGCCCCTCCCTGGCTTATGTACCTGGCTATTGTCCTCTCCCACAGTAATTCTGTTGTTAATCCTTTCATCTATGCCTACCGCATCCGCGAGTTCCGCCAGACCTTCCGCAAGATCATTCGCAGCCATGTCTTGAGGCAGCGGGAACCCTTCAAGGCAGGGGGCTCCAGTGCCCGGGCCTTGGCAGCTCATAGCACAGAGGGAGAGCAGGTTAGCCTCCGCCTCAATGGCCACCCCCCAGGGGTGTGGGCAAATGGCAGCGCACCCCATCCTGAGCGGCGGCCGAATGGTTATGCCTTGGGGCTGGTGAGTGGAGGGAATGCCAAAGGGTTCCACGGGGATACCAGCCTTGCAGACGTGGAGCTCCTTAGCCGTGAGCACAAGGGAGCATGCCCAGAGTCCCCTGGCCTAGAGGACCCCCTGGCCCAGGGCGGAGCAGGAGTGTCCTGATGGTGCACGGAGTTTGCCCCTTCCGGAGAGAAGGAAATCTTAATCTTTCTGGTTGGCTGGACCAGTCGCGTTGGGAGAAGAGAAGAATGAGTGTGCTGGGAGACCCATCGGGCATCTGATTCACTTTGGACTGAGTGAAGGGAGCCCCAAGCTGGAGCAGCATGAGTCCCAGCAAAAAGGGGTTAGGGTCCAAGGAAGCAGATGTTTCATGCTGTCAGGCCCTATCCGAGGCCAGGGCCACAGCACCAGCAGCATCTTGGCTGGGGAGGGCCCAGTCCCCCACTCCATGAAGTATCTAAAAGCCCCAATTTGTCTGCAGAGAAACTGTGATCTGAGGCTGGGGAATGCCTTCAACAGACCTCCTGCCACACACCACCCTTGGCAGACTTTCTAGGGCTCCGGGAGCTGCTGGACCAGAGGTGGAAGTTGACTCCCCACCCCCAGGAGAAGATCTCGTGCAAGGAAATCCTATTTTATTATCTTTCCCTCCCTGGCTTCTAGGCCTGTTGTCCATCCTGCTGCTAACCTGGCACCAGGAGTTTGCCCAGGGAATTGGGCAGCCCTCTCCTGCTGCCACAAACTGCCATGCACTTAGTCCCAGGGCCAACTCTTGAGGTGACAAAGCTGGGCTGGAGGACAGACAGTTGTAACGGGAACAGTGCCAGGGCATAGACTCAGGCCCCAGGGGAGAGGTCAGGGCTTGCAGGCCAAGGACCTGTGCCTGGGCAGCTCAGAGCTGCCCAATTAGAGGCCCTGTCTAACTGCCTTTACTTCTAAAGGGAAATTTTTTTTTTTTCTGAGATAAAATAAAAATGAGCCACATTGTGTTTTAAGCTTGTCCAATGAAAATGGTGTCTGAGTTCCTTTCCCCACTCCATAGCCAGGCCTGGTAAACACATATGGGTGTGGTGATTATGTGAGAGAGTGTGTGTGTATGTGCATACAGACAGAAGATACACCGCCTGCCCTCAGGGCCTCCCCAGGCTCCTGTCATCCCAAGTGACAGCATGCCGATTGCCCCAGAATCTAAATGTCCATGGGGGCTCCCAGACTTGCATTCCTGTAAAAGTCCTCCTCATTCCCTGCAGGCAGTGTAGGAGGAGGGGCTCTTTGCCCAACTGCTTCTTTCCTAGGGTCAGTGACCCCTCCAGCCCTAGGCATTCATGGTGAGGGACCTGGTTTCTCCCTCCCTTGTTAACTTCCTAACACCCTGGGAGGAAAATCTCTGTTATCTTCTCAGATCTAGGTTCCCCACTCCCAACCCCTGCTCCACTCCTCAGCTGAGTGGCCACAGAGTATCTGAATAGAACAGATCTGGCTACAACTAAATTGCCTTCTCCTTCTAAGGAAACCCTAAGGTCTTACTCCCAGGCTGGCTTCTGGGGCTCCCTGCCTGAAGGGGCAATGCTGTCCTCCTGTAATGATCAAGTCTGTCTGTAGTTGGCAGGGAGCTGTGATTGTTTCCTGAAGAGCTCTGAGGGCCAGTTTGACCTCACTGAGGCTGGGACTCAGGAAAGAAGTGAGAATTTCATGGGTAATATTAGGAGCCCCATTTTACAGATGATTAACAATCTCAGGTGGAGTTCTTGCCACAGGTCACATAGCTAGGAAGTGGCAAAACTGAACTTAAAACCCATGATCTTTTTTTTTTTTCATTAATTGATGATGAACTATTTCAATCAAACCAAAAAGCCTGAAATAATATGTCCCCACCACTCTGCTTAAGAAATGGAACGTTATAACTACAGTTGATGGATCTGACCCTTCCTGATATTATCATCTTGCTTCCTGTGTCTGTCTGTATACTTTTACAACATCAATGCATACATAAGCTTTTTAAAATATTTTTTAGTTGTCAATGGATCTTTATTTTATTTATTGATACACAGTGTTGAGAATTGAACCCAGCGCCTCACACATGCTAGGCAAGCACTCTGCCACTGAGCCACAACCCCAGCCCAAGTTTTTTAGCTATTCTTTCACTGTTCTATCAAAGATCCTCTTGAGTGACTGTACAAACCACGTAGGAAGCTCTAAGCAGTACCAAAGCCTGAGCCCATTGCCAGAGACTCTGGATTGAAGGGTCCAGGTGGATGCAAGCACAGTTTTTCCCTGGGGGAATCTTATGGACAGCTAGGGTTAAGAACAGGCCAGAAAGAGAACCACAAAAGCAGGGAAGAAAGAGGTCTCTTGGGAACTGAGGTGCTGGGCTACACAGATACAGGCTTTGGGTGAGGAGGGTCAGGGCTTAGAAAAGGCTTCTGATATAGGTATGCCTCAAGTCCTCTCAGGGCCTGCTCAGCCCAACTCCAAAGCTCAGGCCTCCTCAGGTTCCCAAAGGGCTCAGTGTCCCATCTCCACACCAGGCTGCATGGGCTCCTACTGTGAGCAGACCTTTAGTGCATGCACCATTCCTTTGATCCTAGAGAGGATACAGGTGTGCATACACACAAACAGCTCAACAGGAGTGAGTGCCCACAGCAGCAGCATGGGAGAAACATAAAGATGGATAAAGGACACCAGCAGATGTCCAGCCCATGGGGTACAGATGCAGGTCTGCTCTTACCCATGCTATATGGGCTAGCCTACAAGGGCCCTGTTCAAGGCCCTCTGCCCTCTCCTTGCTGTTCCCAAAGAGCTGGAAGTGGACAAAATGCTCCATTCAGGCCCATCCTAAGCATGCAGACCTTATCAGAGATCATATCCTTTGCGGCCCCAATCCCTCTCTTGGGCAGGTGTGGTCAGGGTCACAGGGAGGCCTGAGAACAGAGGCCTGATCAGGCTATGTCCTGGCCCCACTGAGACAGGCTCTCTGGAGCCCCTCTTCAGCTCCTGCATTAACCACCTCCTGAAGCCCTTCCTCATCCATTTGTATCAAGGTCCCTCCTTTCTTGGGCAGCTGAGTTGAGCCACATTGGATGACCATGGAATGATCAACCATAACAGGACAGAGATGAGGGGCCTCCAGGAAATGAGCTGCTGATGCCCGCTGGATTCGTAAAGCAGAAATGGGAAGCTGGCCTTCTTTTCAACTATAGTGGGGACACGAGAAGCCAGGGGGTGGCTGGGGATGTGGCTCAAGTGGTAGCGCGCTCACCTGGCATGCGTGCGGCCCGGGTTCGATCCTCAGCACCACATACAAAGATGTTGTGTCTGCCAAAATAAATAAATAAATAAATAAATATTCTCTCTCTCTCTCTCTCTCTCTCTCTCTCTTTAAAAAAAAAAAAAGCATTGCCTTGGAAGGCAACTGCTCAGAGAATTAAGACTGCAGCCTACCCTGTTCCTGGAGCCACAGAAACATAGGTCAGGGGAGCAACCTGCAGAGAATGCCACTCCTGTCCTGTCATACTGTGTAGTCCTCTGGCCAAGCCACTGCTATAGCTCTTAGCTTAGTGGGTCCCTGTCCCTGAGCTCCCAGCTGGATGAGTGCTGCCACCCTCTGCTGATAGGAGGTTACCTTAGAGGTGGCAGAACTTGGGGAGACCCAGTGTGCTGTGAGGTGAGGGGTTCCCCTTCCTGGCCCTGATCTGCTCTATAAAGTTGTAAGGTTACAAGTCTTCCTCCTCTCTATACCAGCCCCTTTTCTGTCCAGGTGGCCCTCCCTGCTGCTGTCACTCATCATTAGCAATAACTGTCACTCTTGAAGATAGCCCCTGTCAGGCTGCAGAGCCAGGGGAGGGTACAGGAGGACGTTGAATGACTCACACAGACTCAAAGGAGAGGGATGGACACAGAAATTAAAGCCTAGGTGTGGGAAGTACTTTTTTAGATGCTCTGGCTCCCCCCTTTCTTTCTCCAGAGAAGGAAGTTCAGCTCAGCCGGCTCTACCCTCCCACTATCAGTCTTAGAGAGGGTCTGGTGCAGAGAGGCCAGGTAGGGGAGTGAGCTTGAGGCTGAGCAGGTGACAGGTACATCTGACCCAAAGTCCTCTGAGGAAGGGATTTTTTTTTTTTCTGCCAGAGAGAAGGACTTGAATGGAACCATCCACATTTCTTTGCCTTGTCCAAACAAGTGTCTTTGAGGTTTGGGGAGATTCTGCAGAATTAGCTATCTGGACCAACACTTAATGATCAGAAAAGCCCTACAGAGGGCTGATTAAGGCCTGAGCCTGGTTCCCTGATTGTCTTCCGTAGGTTCCTTTCCCAACCACCTAATGAGCACCTGCTGATTCATGCTAAGCCTTGGGATAGGGGTATGCAGAAGGAGCCAAAAACTGACTTAGGAAAATAAGCAAGATGTGGTTTGGTGAGGAACATGAGGGGGACACAAGTTTGAAAGTTCAGAAAAGGAAAAGGTTACATCCACTGGACATTCAGGTGGCCTTCACCAAGAGGATCAGGTTAAGTTAGACTCTCCAAGGCCACCTGTGGTCAGCTCTGTGGCCCTGTCTCTTCAAGTTATTGGTTAGGAAATAAGAATGAGGAGGTTTTGAGTAAATCTGTGCCTGATTTACATCTGCCTACACAGAATTATGCCATCCATTTGGAGGCAATTTTCAAGTTAAAATGTTGTCAGAGGGTTGTCACAGTTTTGATCTTTCTTTTCTGTTCTTTTTCAACCCACCCACATTTTTTACTTGGATTGGAAAGGGGAGTGAGGAGGGGAGAGCCTGGTATAGATTCAGAGATTTTTTTTTAATTGTTCAAGGTAGATGACAGCTTCAGAAATTGAGTTTTCTCTTAAGAAACTTTAATCCCAGAACCAAATGTCACAACTGTGCTGTTGCTTTCAATGTTTAAGGGACCTGGAGAGACCAGGCCAGGTGTCCTGTTGTTACCTCCCCAGGCCATCTCTTGAGATTTCATCTTGCTTCTCTCTTCTGACTTGTTCAGAAATGCCAAAGAATCCCATTGCCTGCTTCTTCCAACCACTAAGATCTGAATGGAGAATTGAAGAGGGTTCAAACCCTCATCTCACTATTGACTTTTTCTTGACTGTGGGCTAGTCCCTCTGAGCTTCCATGCTTGCTTTTTAGATGAAACAGGATAATAAGTGTGAAAGTTCACTGAAAGGCATATTGTAACAGAAATGTCCAGGATTATTATTATTTATTATAACAACTAATCCATTCTCAATTCAGGAAACACAAGAGAGCAGTGAACCAATACTGCCAGGGTTCTTGACATCAGACGGTGAAGAGGAAACTAGAAGAAAAGAAATATAGGGGAAAGGAAGGCTGCTGACCTACTTTCTATACTCTGCCCACTGAGACTGCCCAGCCACTGCCAGATGAAGGAACATGGCAAGTGTGAGTTGAAGTCAGCACCTGGAAGCCTGTGGTCTCTGGGGGCTGGGAAGTAGCTGTGGAATTGGCAGATGACTTAGGCCAGTGACAGTGATTATGGATCATTTTCCTAGGTTCGACTCTATACTTTTCCATCTGTTAATGAAAGTCTAGAAATTAGAGAAGTTTGGGTTTATGGAAGAAGTGAACAGAGAAGAGATATAGTAAATGTCTAGACTGACAATCAGGATTCTAAATGACCTCAGAACCCCAGCATGAGTCTGAAAAGGCAAATGTGGCGGGGAGGTAGGAGGAAAGAGACCTGGCTACCAGCAGTTCATGTCAAAACAACGTGGCAGACATTTCAGTTACCAAGTTCAGCAATGGCTAATTCCAGGGGACATCCTAGAAAAGAAGCAACTGCAGCTTGAGATCTGCCTTCACGTCCCAGTCCACAAAATTTCACCCAGGCAAAAGGGGCCTGTCAGGTGCCCACTAAGACAGGAGATCTGTGCTCAGTTCTCAACACCTCACGTACCCAATCCATAAACAAACTGAAACACCATATGGGAATGCTATGGTTTGGATATAGTTGAGTTTGTTCCCCAAAGGGTTCATCTGCTTGATCTCCAGTATGTTGGGACATAGTGGGCGATAACTAGGTCATGGAGGCACCACCTTTGGAAATTATTATTGCAGGTCTCAAGTGACTGTATTCGTTCTTATGAGAGTTATAAAGCAAGGCTACCCCACATGCTTGGCTCTCTTGCATGTGGTCATTTCCCCTTTTGCTTTTCTGCCATGTTGTGATACACCCAAGGGTGGTCCTAGTTAGGATGCCAGTGCCATGCTGTTTGGACCTTCCAGCTGCCAGACTTATGAGCCAAATAAACCTCTGTATTTATAAAGTATCCAGTTTCAGGTATTTTCTTATAGCAACACAAAATATACTATTGTCAGAAACATGCCTGCCACAAGATATATTATAACCTCATAATTATAACTAACAAAATTAACAAAGGAAGGTGATCAAGACAGGGAGAGTTTGGAAACTGAAAATGGTTGGAGGAAGAGAGGTTGGAGAAGACTTGGACAGAACTATGGCAGCAGGTGAACACGCCAGAAGATGGATCCACCTTGCCATGGGCCTATTGCATAAGCTTGGTAAGGGCAAATCTGTATGAGTTCTAGGACTCACGGACACTCTGGCTGAATTACTAGTTCCATCAGAGGCCACCAGAATGCAATAATTTGAGCTTCATGGCTGAATCCTTAGTGTGCTCCAAGGGCATTCAAGTGCTCCGTGGCCTAGAAGAGACTCAGCT